CAAGCTATGGAATCTGTACATGCTGACTTCAAGAAAATTTGGAACAATTTCAAGATTTCGAAGGAGCATCCAGAATATGCAAATAGATTACTTCGGGCAGTACAGGAATATAATGCTAGACACATGTAATTAATATGAAGTTTTGTTATATGTAGGTATGTCAGTATTAATTTATTAAATGTTTTTTAAAGTGGCATGGTTTTTTTTACAGATTATGCAACAATGATATTGATTTAAGGCCTTCTTCATATATCCATCACTTTAAAACTGATGTTTTATTTATAATATTTATATATTTATTTTGTTGGTGTTTAATTTATCAAAAATAAACAAATTTATCCTTAATCTGCAATCTTTGTACAGAAACACCCACCTAAATTAACAAAAGCTAACCATAAAATATCGCTAGTGATTGTTGGTTATTTTCACTCTTAAAAATAGGTTTTCTCAAAAACGGCTCGGGGAAAAAGTCTGAAATATTGGATTTCGACTCATTTTAATACACAGATTCTAAATCTGCAAACAGAATTTTTGTGCAAATTTTCGTCATTTAAACATGCTTCAGCCCCACCGTGATTGGTCAAGCCATACGCGCACACTCTAATAGCGGGAGTAAATAGCTATTTACATACCATGGGAGGAAAATATTGCATTTCCTCCCGCGAATAGTTTGATGCCCGACGCGAAGCGAAGGGCATTAAATATTCAAGGGAGGAAATGCATTTTCCTCCTGAGGTATGTATATAGTTTTTTCTATTACCTTTTAACGGTTTAAAGACATTTTAAGCGTTCCGGTTCCTTTTACTTACCCGGTATGAGGCTATAAAATTATGACAAAATATTAAGTAGGTTTTGCGTCGCCGACGTTGACAACGCTTTGTTGCTATGGTATTTTTGGTAATACCAACATAACAGTTTTTATAAGCTGTCATAATGTTTATCATAAATTGCAATTAATTTCCTTCCTTAAAAATATAAAAATAGTGAATATGAATATAGTTTGTTAAAAGAATGTTAAAAGAATGGTTGGACAACCGCGGAGTAAATCTTTTTCCTACAAAATCAAATAAGGCTAGACAAGGTACAAAAACTATTGCCAATGTAAAATTTAAAAAAAAAGAGGGAGGATTAAATGTATATAAAAAAACTTGTGTCAAAATTAAAATCTGACGTTTAATTTAATTCTGACATTTACATTCAAAATCAATCAAACTGTAGCGTTGTCATGGTAATTCAGCGGTGCCAATACAGTAAAAATAAAAGGTTGTATTTTAATTAACAAATTACTACTTTATAACAAATAAAAGTACCATTAAACACTTAAAACAACATAAAAAGTAAAAAAGTAAAAACATAAATTGTTTATTTGTTGTTATAATTGCAAAATTATGGTTTAAAACTGTCATATTTTTGTGTTTCTCATGTTGGCAGTACGAAATTTGAATGTCAAGCACACGACTAAAAAATTTTTACTCCCGCTATTAGAGTGTGCGCGTATAGCTTGACCAATGCAAGAAACGTAAACTTTCTGCCGTGAAATCGGGGACGAAACAACGTATTTTGAGTCGAGGTAGTAAGAAAAATAAGTTTTCTAGTAAGGTAGAGATGTCACGGAATAGCTTTTTCTTGTACCTAGTTTGACCTGTACCAGTTCCCAACGCGAACCTATTCCAGATACCTATTCCAATTCCTGCCTATTTCGACCCAAATGCGCGGTTGTGGTGACTCTCGCAACGTTGCAAAAGGTTAAAACTATTACGAATACGAAGCAGTATTGAGTATTTACATTTAGTTTCTCGATGCCGAAATCAATGCGGTAATATTGCATACCTACTCTTTTATTTATGGCTTTTTTCTGATAAAAACATTCCATCCATATTTCTCTTGTAGTTTATTTATTAGTCACATCAGTAGCCATAATTTGATAATTAATTAATAATAAACGAAACGTCTCTAAAAATGAATTAGTCAAAAATGACTAATTTAATAGTTATTAGTGACTGCTTTTTCACTTGTGCCATGGTTAACCATGGAATACCATGGTATCCCAAAATTTAACAGCCAATTCTTATGTAAAATTGTCCCCTGAATCCGAAAATTTCGTCAAAAGTTAAAAAAGTATAACAGTTTTTGAGATATAGTCAATTTTCCATTTAATATGGAATTGACTATATCTCAAAAACTGCTTCACTTTCATAATTTTTGACGGTATTTTCGGATTCAGGGGACAATTTTACATAAGAATTGGCTGTTAAATTTTGGGATACCATGGTATTCCATGGTTAACCATGGTACAAGTGAAAAAGCAGCCATTAATAACTATTAAATTAGTTATTTTTGACTAATTCATTTTTAGAGAGTACCATACCTTATCATGCAATCCAGGATTTACGGGTTATAATTATAAAGTGAAATAACGCGGCAACCGGCAAAGACGCCGATCCAAGAAAATACCTACTGCAGTTCCAATCGGTTTTATTTGCTATTCACCGTCACAGTCATCGTGAATAGAATAGGCATGATTCCTTGTATAATGAGAATAGAAAACAGACTAACTGCGTGACAGCGGCTGCCAGGTCTCGGAATAGGAAAGGCCGGAATAGGTTCCGATATTTGGGAATAGGTACGCGGAATAGGCAGGTGATACCTATTCCAAAGTAGCCGGTCCAGTTCCACTGTAACATCCCTATGTAAACGTCAGAATTAAATTAAACGTCATGTAACGAACGGGGGATGGGGGGCACACATTAATAATTAAAAAGAATATTAAAACCACAAAAAAAACTACCTTTGGCCAAAACACGTGATCGTCTAGTTTAAAGAAATTAAGTTAGGACCCCTTTTTGTTGTGAATACGGTTCTGGATACGTAAGTACTTGAGCAATTGAAAAGATATTTAAAAAGCAAAGAAAAAGTATTAAATTAAAATAAGTTTATTAATAAAGGCAATTTATACAAGAGTTAATTATTGTTACTGTACATTAATAATATAAATAAAAACATTTGTATTTGAAAAGTATTATTGATTTAAGTTAATAAGGTAAAACCTTAAAAACCCACATATACAATACAGACATGCATATATGTCGCACATCTCAACAATATAAATAATACAACAACATCAAAGTAATCAATATATTATCATATTGCTAAGATTATTCACCTACATAAATGGTAGGCTCGGACGGTGTAGAAAAGCAAATACACATTGAAACAATTATCAATGTACAGCAGCAAACAACAATAATGTGAAACATAAAGTATAATATAACTTAGGTCACAAGCAACAATAATAAATGGTATTTGTATAAATAAAATATATAAATAACAATTGGTGTAGTGGTGGACAAGAGTTATGCAATAAAATTGGTGTACAGTCATAAATGATACATAAATACAATCAGGTATAGTCAAGTAATAAAATTATGTCAGTGCAAATCAAATATAGTAAAATAAAATGATTATCAATAATAATAAAATAAGACAATGTCACAAAAACTCACATCATGGGCCCTACCTAGCATTTATTGTAAAGATGGGTGAATTGATACTTATCAGTCTCCGGGCTCGACCCCTTCGCCCGATACCAACACCGTTATACAATAAAAGAAAATTCTAACAAGTGTTTGGTGTGCCAAAATTGCAACAAAGCCTCAACATATTAAATAATGAATATCAATTTATCAAATAAATAAAATAAGATAAACTGTACAAAATCAAGTATGTAAATGTTAAATATAAATATGTAGTAAAATGTAAAATTACATTACTATATAATATGTTAAAGTAAATGTAATATAAATATAATAATTATAAACATAAAATAATGATTATAATACATTTGTAATTTGGTTTGTCCAACAAAAACCTTTGAGATAAGATAAATCAACTTATTATTTCTCTCACAAACAAACAAGTTGAATTAATAATAATAAAATATAGTTTAAATTAAATATTAAATAATTAACCACTCATTATGATATTTGTGACCTCAGATTATAATAACTAAATATAGAAAAGACATACCTATTTAAATAAACAACACTTTCACTAAACTGAATTTATATAAAATCAATGTATTATTAAATTCACTCCCTGATAAAATGAAAGAATTAAACTAATCCCTTCAACTGTCTAAAATATACTGACTGCTCAAATAGCAAAACCAAAACTGTCTACTTCAAATAACAAAACTCAACTAACTTAAAAAATACTGTCTACCCTAAGTTTTTAAACACGCTCTTTTTATGTTTATTTTCTCAAAGCCACAGGCCTATCGATATGGTTCATTTAGACGTGAGAACCTTCTCTGTCTACCGATATGGCTCAGACATACGTGCGGTTTTGGTGAGTCTCCCTAGTGCAGTATGGGATGCTTAAAGACACCAACACGTAGGTCTACGCTTAGCACCTTGACAGTGATTTATAAATATCATTCTGTCAGACGTACTATACCCTATTTTTATTACGCGTTGACAAAGACTCTGGAATGCTTAGTTTAAATATTGCCCTAATAAATTATATAATGTAAACAGAATGGGTCCAAATATTAAGTTACTAATAAACACTTGATACAATTTTAAGTTAAATATTTAGAAGTAGTTTCATATTTCGTAAAGCCTTAAAATAATAAATTAAGAAATGTTAAAATTTAACTGCCCCGTATATCGTACCATTACAGTCAGATTTTAATTTTGACACAAGTTTTTTATATACATTTCATTTTTTCCCGTATTTTCTGCGGGGTAGCAAGAAAAATAGTATACACTACACGGGCAGAAAGTGTGAGAGCCCTGAACTGCGCGCCATGATGCCCTCGGCTTCGCCTCGGGCATCATGGCGCGCAGTGCAGGAATCTCACACTTTCTGCCCTTGTAGTGTAATATACTATTTTATGCATTAAGTTACTTTACTTTAAACTTTCTTGGATACAAACACAACAAAATTAACCTATAAAGTGTCATTTACTAAGAAGGTGGAAATAAAATAAATATAAAATGTTAAATTAACACATTTAATTTTTTATTAAAAATACATAAACAATAAAATGCACAAATTATTGCTCCATCAATATTTTGTTTAAAACATGCTCCGCAAAGGGGCTACCAAGTACTTTGATAAAGGTTTTTTGATCACGAATGAATTTTACAAAATATTTATTTACACTGTCAGTAATTCCTTTGGATAACTCATCGTCATTTAATAAACCTTCCAATTGAAACTATAAAGTAAAAAACGCAGTAGATAATATCAGGAAAGGTTTCTTATCATAAAATATATTTCGCAACATTTCCATTAATTTAATTTAATGTATGTATATAGTATCAGGTACTCACAACAATATCTTCCAAAGACAATTGAAATTGTAGAAAAAATACTTTGGGATGCTTGAAAATTTCATGAAACCTGGATTTTGTTTGAAATGCGAGTCCTGAAAAGTGATTCCTGAAAAATATATTATTTACGTTTTATCGAATAATATAATTAAATATTATTATATAAAATTACCTTATGGATACGTCATCATTGTGTACTTCTGTGTCAATACCAAAGGTAATGTTTGTTGTATAATCAAAAGCAAAGTCCAAATTTTGGAATGTTATGTCAAGGTGTAGTTTGTAAGTTTTTGAATCAAAATTTAATGTACTTATTTCAAATGATTTTAAGCCAGAGATATTTACCAGGTTTATATTAAGGAAACCGCTAAAATATGTTAAAACATCAAGATTGTTCTATTATAAATTTGATATTAGGTATAATATCAAATCAAATAGGTATATTTATAAAAAAATATTAATAAAAGATTTTTTACTTGATATAGTCATTTTCCGGAAAATCGAATCTCTCATTTTTTATGATATAATGATCTTGAAGTTTCCTACGTAGGTTTTCCAGTTTATCGAGAACTTCATTTTCAACTGCGTTTCCTAAACCAAATTTACATTTATGTTTACAGTGTAAAGGTGTATGTATCTTGTGTTTACAGGGTGTCCAGAAAACAGAAAAACAATTGAACGTCGGGTTTTTCGGCGCACAGTGTTTCAATTCTGGAAAATATCGGCAAAACTTCAAAAATTGACATTTTTTCAGGTAAATTTTGAGTTAGATGGGTAGTTAATACCTGTCTCCATCCTGTATTGAAAAAAAAATTATATAAAATACGTATATTTTGTCTTGTACATCAGTTTAAACTTGACGCTTTCAGTTGAATAGGTACTTTATACGCGATCGCTGCGGAAAATTGTTTATTGTTTAAAAGTGAATAACTTGTGTTTGGTGTGTCCGATTGTTATGCGGTTTGATAAAGGGTGATCTCCAAGGTATCTAAAATTCAGATATGTTTTTGTTTTTCGTAGATTTTGCTTGTACAACGGGTTATCGTAACCGACAAGATCGGTCTGTTAAAATCGCAAACTTTGAATCGAGCTTTTAGAACAATGGACCTACAAAAATTTTAATGAATTGTAAGGCATCAGTTCAAAATCTGTTGCATAGCTTAGAGTTTTGTCTATCAAGCCATCAATAAATTATCTGCCCCAACTTGCCCCCGGCTCTTTAAAACTACATGTTCTTGGGCGCTCAGGCCTGGTTGTGGTAAAAAACCTCGCTATGTTAAGCCTATGTCGCGCGCGTATCTGTGTTTTTGCTTTACAAAATATAAGATTTTTTTCTGGGTTGTATTAATGACGTTTACTCGATTTACTCGGATTTAACTCAAAACGTTTATTACAACAGCGGTGTCTAGACTTTCACTTGCGTAAATCGTTGGTGTCTACTATAAGATATTTATTTTTTATATGCATTTATTTTTTATATGCGCATTGTAGTGTGTTAATGTCAAATTTGAATTGTGGTTATTTGTGTTGTCAATTTTTTTAGCGAATCCAGTGACGGAGAATGTTTAATATATATATATATATATATATATATATATATATATATATATATATTAAACAATCTCCGTCACTGGATTCGCTAAAAAAATTGACAACACAAATGTTTAATATATATATATATATATATATATATATATATATATATATATATATTAAACAATCTCCGTCACTGGATTCGCTAAAAAAATTGACAACACAAATAACCACAATTCAAATTTGACATTAACACACTACAATGCGCATAGGTATTAAATAATATCCTATACCCAGTGAACCAAACCGTGACTTATGACCTAAAATTTACGTAACACGTAGATCATATCTAGGTAATACAATTTTTACGTCATAGTGACATAATACTGACCCAAAACGTGACTTTTATATGATGTAATTAAATGACTTACATATTACGTACATCTTATGTAATATTAAAGTCATATCGTGACGTAACATTAAAGTCACTTTTCTTACGTAAGACTGACATAAGAAATCTGTCATAATATTACATAAGTTTTAGGTCACTGTCTTACGTAAGACTGACGTAATAAATCTGTCATAATATTACCTAAGTTTAAGGTCATTTTCTTACGTAAGGCTGACGTAAGAAATACGTCATATTATTACATACGTTTTAGGTCACTTTCTTACGTAAGACTGACGTAAGAAATATGTCATACCATTACATAAGTTTAAGGTCACTTTGTAAGGTAAGACTGACATAAGAAATCTGTCATACATATTATTTAGACGAACTAGATGCAAAAGTAATTTCAAAGTATGAAATTTACTGTATTTTAATGTTTGAATTAAACTAATTTCAATGAATGGACTTGAAACGGTTAATTCCAATCATTGAGTAAAATAACGTAAGTTAATTCTATTAATTGAAATTGACGCCGATTACACTGTGCGACAAATTTTGACCTTACAATTTGAACTGGGATGAAATGTGGAAAAATCGAATCTATGCAACCCTCAAAACTAATCTTTAAAGGGGTTTTGCTAGTTTGGCTCGAATAATGGAGATATATAAAAGCCCCTAGAACTTAAAAAATATGAATTTTATAGAAAAATGCTCGGACACGTCGATTTTTATTTTATATGACGCAATTTTCAGTTGATTTTGAAATTTTTATTTTTTCACAGATTCACCCCCAGCGGTTTTCTTAAAAAAAAAAAGTGGGGTGGCTGGGGGTGAATCTGTGAAAAAATAAAAATTTCAACATCAACTGAAAATTGCGTCATATAAAATACAAATCGACGTGTCCGAGCATTTTTCTATAAAATTCATATTGTTTAAGTTCTAGGGGCTTTTATATATCTCCATTATCCGAGCTAAACTGGTAAAACCCCTTAAAGGATTTGTTTTGGGGGTTGCCTAGATTCGATTTTTTCAGATTTGATCCCAGTTCATTTTTTGTGTTGCACAGTGTTATTTTAAACAATAAAATCAGTGAATACTTTTCCTTATCAATCAGTTTAATTCAAATATTAAAATACATCAAATTTCATATTTTGAAATTACTTTTGCATCTAGCATGATGAAAGAAATAACCCGAAGTTCCTTGAATTTTTTGGCTACTTAGTACTTGGTCGATTAAATGAAAATATGGTTTAAAGTTAATCAAAAAATAATGTATCTTAATTTAATATGTAATAAACATCATATAGATTTTTATGATTCCGGTTCCTACTGCTTTATGATGTAAACAATTTTGAAAATAGCGTCGTACTTTCAAAAGTACACATTTTATTCAATGGTCATGTGAAAAATCATGTAGGTACTCGTAATCATGGTTGCAAGTACTTGCAAGTACCTACTTATTTTTTAAATTGTAAAAAATTTTCAACAAAAGATTTACGTGTTATTACGTGTTATTTTGTATTGTATGTTACTGTTATTATTTTTTGAAAATGGTGCTTTTGGTGAAAGTGGAATTTTTTTACGCTTTAAAAGATCTGAAATGATATTTCACTGACTTCAAATTTTTTTAAATGTGACTTTGGCAGTACGACGTCATTTTTTTTTTAATCCATGCATGTCAAAAAATTTTACATACCTATTAAAATACTAAAATTTTAAATTTCTAAAATAAAAATAATTTTTAAATGTTGAATATTGTCCCTATAGCTATAGCTATAGCTACTCATAAAAAGCGATTTTTTTTTGTTCTTATTTCTGACATACCCTGTAAAGAATCTGACAAATTAGTAGTTGGTTCAAAATCCATTGTGAGTTGGTTTTGATCAGCTTCATAAATTAGATAAAGTATCAGCTTGCAATAAATACCTTTTCGATAATGATTCCATTTCCCATTGAAAAAAATGTGACCTTTTGACAGTACGACGCCATTTTAGAAAATTTTCAAAATTGGTTTAAGTCAAAAAGTAGTACCCTTGTCTCTGGTAGTACCTATATATTTAATGCCTTGTTTAACATACTAAAATTTCAATTTCCAAATACAGAGGTTCAAAAAATAAAACTATAATAAATAATACAACCAAATTTAAAGAATTTAGTATTATAATATAATATGGTATAATTATATATTAATATAATACCTATAATAATAGATAGGTATTTGCACAATATTGTGGGTATTAGTATATATTTTAAATTTAAAAAATGATAAATAAAAGAAATGAAATTGACAAACGAAATTATTTAAGTACACTGAGAATATTTAGTATTAAGAAACCAAGAGATTTTTAAAAATATATGTAAACTATTAAAGAATTTTTCATTGATAAACAAATTTTTATAATAATATTATAATATGGTCCGGTTATTGTGTTTCAGACAAATAAGGGTAATGTCAAATAACATTGAAATATTAATTGTTAACAGTTACAATATGCAGTAAAAGGTTGCCTATGATAAGTAGGGCATCTACTATAATATAATAGAAATCTACTTATCATGGGCAACCATTATTGCATAATACATCTCGCTTATCCCAGTAAGCACTGGAACCTCCCAGGGACGTACGCAGGACGTCTTCCTGGGATATACCTGACGGACTCAGGAAATCCGACAGCGTCTGTAGGACGTCCCTGGGATGTCTGATGACAACCTAAGGATAGTAAAAAAAGACTTCCTAAGACCCTCCATTTTAGGTCCTACTGCGACCACCTCAGGCCTCTCTATGGACGTTATAATTCGATCCGCATGGAGAAAAAAAAATACAATCTATTTATTTTATTATCTATTTATTTTTAACATCTTTTGTAACAAAAACTATATATCTGATAAAAAAAATAAATGAAATTAAAATATTCAGGGTAATCCGAATTGTACCTTACATAATTTGGGAATTGATAGAATAGGTTAACATAATATCAATTTTATTAATAAACTTATATAAGTATATATATAGTAAACTAAACAAGGTGTATCTTTTTTTAAATAAATTTATATTGTTTCTGAACTTAAAATTATTGTTTTAAATAAATATAACCTACCTATATAGGTATTTATTTAACTAAATGAATAAATAAAGTGAGGTTATTTAAAACAAGCAACAGGTGAAGACCATACAACACGAAACTACAATAAGAAATATAATAGTTATACTAGTTATGCAATTTAAAGAAATTATATTAATTTATAACGGCATCAATAAAAAAAGAGGAAAGCTTTTTTTGTCGTTAATCGGGCGGCACCTCGATCGAAGAGATGCATTATTGTTAATTATAAATTTACTAGAAAAAAAACAATAATTTGCTCAGAAATATATATTATTTAATACATACCTACCTTCATTAAATATAAAAGGCACACAAATGTAAACTAAAGTTGTATCTATTGTTAACTAAACTTCCAAACCACTAAACAATACAAAACTGATTTTAACACGTGCCGCGAGACTCATGGTACATTAATGCAGCGCCAGGGTTGCCAACTTGAATTCGATAGTCGGTACCGCGTAATTCAAATTACCGTACTATAGCTCGCAGGATCGTACTTACTAAATGGGGGTGCGAATTTTTTGGAATAAAAAAGGGTAGTAATATTTTGTAAAAATTATGAT